CTGCGGGTCTCCAAGCTCTGCTTTCAGTGTTGTCAGGAGCGAGACCGCCGTCCCCTTTTCACCAGGGCCCCAGGTGGGGCACAGAGAAAGCAAGAGCCGCTTCTTGCTGGAGCAGCAGAGGTAGGACTTGAGTTTCAGCCCTTGCATTGTGGCCAGTATCGTTCCCACGCTCCCTGGGAAGGATTTCTTCAGAAGCCCCAGTCTCATCACAATCTGTTGTTGCTCTTCTCTTGCTCTTTGAAAGCCAAAAGTAAATTTTCAAAGATGGCAAGGCCGCTCCTGAGTTTCTGTTGCCAGACGGCGGAGGGGATGTTTGAGTTGTGCTCGGGGTCTGCCATGCTGCCAGCTCAGCCCTGCGGACCCTGTGTTTGGGGGCCTGGAGGGACCCTGAGCTCTGGGAAGTGGCCTCTTGTGTGGGCAGACCTGTTACTTTCAAAGAACACCTAGTTTCATTTGTCTCAAGATTTAACATTTTTTAAAAAGATGGGATCCGCTCATGAGCTGATCATTAAGCTGGAAAACATCAGCTGAATGCATGGATCTTACAGACGTGTCCGTGGCAGCGTGGGATCCATCTGGTTAGCTAGTCCTCTCGAAAAGCTGAGGCTGTTGAGAGCATTTTATTAACGTGCATGTGCATCGCGGGCCTCCCCACCATCCCCACGATGCGCGCTGAACCTATGGCACGTACATGCTGGAGAGACCCCTTGTCACCGGCCCTGGGGAAGAACTGGTTGCAACTCTGACACTAGAGAAAGAAATAAGAAAACGCTTCCACCACGGGACGCAGGTCTGGAGGAAGCCCGGCTCCCTTAACTCAGCGCTTTTCGAGTTCCACGCCGCCGTGGTTTTCTTCGGTGCCTGCCATGCTACGGGGACTGGCGCTCAGCGTGCTGCCTGGCCCGCGTCCAGGTGCCGGGCAGGGGAACCGCCCCGGGTGAGTTATCACAGGAGGAAGGCCGCCGGGTGAGCTGGATGGGCAGGGGGAGAACCAGTTCCCCGCCTGATAGTTACGATCTGAGCAGCTCGGTTTTGACAAGAGAATGACCTCTTCCGCTGCGGGAGAATGTGAACCGATACTCGGTGTCACGCAGCTGCGCAGTGCCCCATCATCCTCCTCGCCGCGATGTAAGCGAGATCCCAGGGGGATCACAGTACAGGATGCACCGTGAAACACAGCCAGCCCTGGGAGAAGCAGCATTTAGAAAACGCCAGCCACACCGCCAGGCAGGGGAAGGGACACCGGTTCAACAGAAGGGAAGCGCGGTGGGAACGTCCGCTGTGCCGGAGCCCGGCGAGCCTTGCCAGCCGAGAGGTTTTGTGCAGGAGATCCCGACCCCCTGAAATGCAGCATCTGCCACCAGGGCATTTCAGTGGGACCGCTGGGCTGGGCTGGCTTTCCCGGGATGCAAACTGGGATTTGGAAGGATTCTGTTGGAGAAGCCATTTAATGTTTAAGGCACTGACTGCTTGTTATCTGGCAGCCTTGGCTCCACATTCACAATGAAAGTGGGCACAGCGGGCTACTGTGAGGTGCTGCGCTCCGTAGGAAATAACTGCTGAGCAGAGGAGGAAACTTTTCCTCTGGGCAGGGAAGAAAACCACAACTGAGCTTATTGCATCTTCCCTGCAAGGGCTGATGCTGGTTGAAGCAGGGCAGAGCGATCAGCCAGACGGGAATTACCCTGCTGCGCGGCGGCAGGTCCTGTACGCCAGCTCCGCCGACCTGGCTCCCAGATGCGGAACCGAACGAGCGCACGTCCTCAGCCTCGCTCCTTCGGCCACGGCTCGAAGCCCTTCGGCGCCGTGACAAAGACGGCGGTCGCTGGGGGACTGTAGCTGGGTTTGGGTCTGTACGTTGTTTCTGCCTGCTGAGGAACACAAAAAGCCGCGGACCAATAAAGCCCTATCTCTCAGAGTATCTCAGAGTTTGAAATCCCAGGAGGCTAACTTGCCTCTCGGGATCAGCCTTTTAAATCAGGCTGGCGGCAGACACCCCTGTGATGGCTTGAGAACAAAGACTTCTTCCTTGCCGAGTAAACAACACCCAAACCAAGCTCCTCAAAATATGTGTTCCTCTAAATTTTTAATGCCGTTTTCATCCAACTTGCTCGTCCTGTTTCAGAAGGGCTGGGCCTCGTAATTAAAAGCTCCAGCGATCTTATGCCTGGCAAATGTCATCAATGGCTTCACTATGCTGTGCCCTGCTTCTCCGAACAGTGGGAACAGTTTGGAAAGGAGCTTCTGATTAAAGAAACTCTCTGAGGTCAGGTCTCGATTCGCTTTGGGCCTTTGTACCAGCTCGGCATGGAGAGAAGCTGTCACGAAATCAGGGTCACCGGCATAAATGAGAATTCCCATTCAAAGCCTGGAAACGCCCGAGACGAAGGAGTTGTCTGAAGCTTACAGACTTCTCCACGTTCATCGCAGAGTGAAGGGCTGTCAGCAGCAGAAGTATCCCAGTATCTGCTCATCTAATCAGAAAAAAGTTCATGGGCAATTTTACCTTAAACTGGAAAACTGAAACGGAGCTGTCCTGCCCTTTGAGGGCGCAAATCCAGGTTGGTTCTCAGCAGGCACTGACAGCCCTCCAGGACGCTGAGACCGGTCTGCAAGCCATCAGGCTCTGAAATGAGCTCACAAATTTATGTTTATTACCATACGTGCATATTTGCCCTATTGCTGGCTATCAGCAAGCATTGCCACTCTCTGCTGATTCTTGTTTTTCATCTAGGTGATGGTTAGGGAGCAAAGGATTCACCATGATTTATAACATATGTATTTATATATAAATCACTGTTTTATAAAGCTTGAAGAGGAGGCTGCTTTACTCTGTGTGGCCCAGCAGACTGTCCGTGCTGTGGGGATAGGCAGAAACGTGGCAGCCACCACCTAATTAACACCTGCATCAGAACCATTTGCGAGGGCCATTTTCTGCATGGATCGGGCCAGGGATCCGGTTTTATGGCACAGCTGAGGGGGTGGTGATCTGCGGTGGGGTCAGACACCTCGGGGCAGGAACACCTTCCGCTAGCTTTACTGGTGTCTCCCGAATCCACACCCCGGGTCCCGGCTACCTCCAGCTGCGCTAATATTCTGTATTTATTTTGTTTGTAGCGAGCACCAGGAGAAGGAAGGAAGGAAGGTGAAGCGCAGAGGCTGCAACTTGAAGTTAACGTGTGACCCCCGTCTGCCATGCCACCTACGTTCAGGTAAAAAAAATTCTGCTTTGCAATATTTCCTTTAAAACCCGTCAGATGTTCTATTGCCAGACTTTTGTATAAGGCAGGAAAAAAGTGTGCTTTTATTTGCATGCATACAGAAAGGGGTTTTGCTCGGTATGCGTTTGTCATTAACGGGGCAGATACAGCTCGGTATGTTTGTCACTCCTCCTCCAGCTCGGTATGTTTGTCACTAACAGGTATGTGAGGAATACGTTCCATTATGCCTGGAAGGACACATGGGTGGGTGTTTGATTCACGCAGATTAAGCGCAGAACCATTTGGTCATTCCGTTTCCTGGCTGCTCCTCAGCACCCCGTCCTGCTGCTCTCACGTTGTCTTCACGGGCGCAGCCCTGCTCCCGCTGAGCCACAAAGGGCTGGCGGTGCCACTGGCCGAACCGGGCCTGGCCCAGAGGATCCGGGCCGACGTGCCGTTTTGATCTGGAGCGCTGGGCGGTGTGAGGTGGGCAGAAGCTGGCGTGACCTGGCCTTGGAAGGGGCTCCCCTGATGAAACTGGGCCCTTCCACAGGAACTCCTGCGTCTTTTGTTCCTTTCTACCAAAACAGCAGTGTGGCCGAGGCGACCCAGGGTCTGCGCCGCTGTATTTTCAGCTGGTGCAAACTAGCGCAGACCTCGGGCGCTCTTTCCCCGTGCAGGAGAACGGCCTGCATTCAGCAGCGGGATCAGAAGAGTCTTTTGCACGCATCCAGTCTCGCCCAAGTCTTCCTTTCTGTAGCTTAGCTGTAGCCTAGGATCTGAACAAGACGCTCTGCACTTCAAACACTTCTTAGATCTAAACCATTATTTATTTGAATAAATAAATACAAATATCGGAAATTCTGAATATAAAACCTGCCGGTACAAAAACCCCACAAGCTCCCCAAGCTTTACGTTAATACATACATAATTTTGATACAGTAAAAAGACCTGAAATTGCACACAGCTCTTCATTTAAAAGACAAGGCTTGAATGTAGTCATTTCTGCAGAATCATGGAAATAAACACATGTAATACCACACAGAAATACACCCGACAACATTCTATTGGACTTTTAAATAGGACAGAAGGGTGAGTGAGTGGTGAATATTTATGCTCATCTTAAGGCCGTCCTGTTTAAACAAAGATACCCTCACACCACTGCCTTTGGCCTCTGCGTCAGCAAGAACCAGCTGCCCGAACCCTGTAGCTCGGCTCTCCGGCTACGCGCAAAACTCAATCCAACTCTCTCCCGCTGGGATAAACCAGGTACTGCCCTACTAAAGTCAGGGAAATTACCACTGGGGTCTGGAAACCCAAATGAGAGCAGAAGAGAAACTGTGCCCTCAAACACGAACGTGTACGTGGGAAGCCAGAAATGAGTCCGTGCTAGATTGGCCTGATTCATTTCTGTGTCGCTTTGGTCGTACGCTGCTCCTATGCCGTGAAAACTCACGGAATCTCGACAGCGTGTAGCTAGGTGATGCGCTGGCTACTATTCTATGTTGGGAATGAATATTTAGCATCGATCCCCGATGAATACCAGAGCATTAAGTGTTTTTGCTGACTCATCTCTTGCCTTTGCCCGTAAATAAGCTAACTGATGAGGTAGTGTAACACAGCTGCTCGACAGGATATTTTACCTACCATTCAGGGAGAACTCTGCCCCTCAAAACTTTGTACTTTAAACAGAGGAAAGTTTTACAGGATTTTTATATGCAAAAGAATTAAATATTTGAAATATAAAACCACTCTTTTCTAGAAGAAATGTGTTGAAAACGTGTTGAAAACTGCTCGGGTTTAGCTGACAAAAGCAGCAATGGCTATGACCTTTAGTACTGACTCAAGCCCGTATGTAAAGAGAAGAACGGCGTTGATAATGACGTCTGCTTTCAGCACGTAAGTTTGCCACACCAGGAAGTACACCGAGAGAATCACGCTGCCGACCGTGATCACAAGACTGAGCCCTAGCGGAGCCTCTTCTTCTGTCAGGTTACCCTTGGAACCTCGAAGGAAAGGAAAAGCTGACATGAGTCTTTGATTTCTTCTGACAATAGCACAAGCCGTAAGTCTAGAGTATTCCTGTTCAGAAAAGGCTCTAGCGCTCACAGCTCAGCGTACACTGAAATACTGGCCTGAACCAGGGCTCTCCGTAAATGTGAGAACAAACCCAAACACCAACGGACAATCCGTTTCTTGCTGACCAAAGTTAACCAAAATAAAGAGCAGTCAGTCGATATTCAAAGTCACGACGCCTACCTTTTCTTATCACAGATAATCGGTTCTGAAGCTGCAGCCATCTCGATCGCTCAGCTTCTTAGTCAACCGTCAAACCTCCCCCCAGTCCCCCCCAGTCCCTCCCAGCCCCGCACTTCGTGTGACAACTCAGTGGCTGTGGTGCGCATCTAAGGGCATCCAATCCTGATTTTAAAATCTTACGCAATATAGAATCTTCTGTATTCCCTGCTAATCTATTCCCATTTCAAATTACCGTCATTGTGGGAAAGCTGCCCTTACCTCTTCCTTGTATCTTATTTCCAAGCTAGTCCCAGTAGATTTTGCTGTTTAACTACATCAGACTTGAAACTCATTTCTTTATTCATCCGCCAGGCTCCAAGCAAACATATGCAGAGAGCTTTAAGGCAGCAGGCTAAATTCACCCCTACAGCAAGTCAGCTGAACTCAGCAGAGACCCACCTTGCATAAATGTCTTAGGAATATGGAGCAGATTTTAAGAGTAACTTGTTTTTTTAAAAAAAAGGACTTGATGAAGTTGTAGCAGGCTCTGGACAGGAGTCAGGAGGCCCTTTACGCTGTTGTGTCTTAGCGAAACGAAGATGTTGGAGCTGGCGTGTGCCTTCAGGAGCGAAGGGAAAAGGTGCGGTGGCGGTGGCAGCCATACGCTGCTCGGGGACGTCCTTAGCATCACCCGCTCCGCACGGCTCCGGCCGTTTGGTTACCTGTGTGCGCTGCTGGAGCAGTTGAAAGGAGCTGTATCGCCTCACCGAATGGGAACCTCTGTGTTTCAACATGTTCATTCTCACAAGTTGCGCTCCCTTGTAAACAGCATTCCAGCTGTCCCAGGTATATTGCTTTCTGACAACCCAGCTATTGTCTTTAATGCCATTATAGATTATATTTCATCTGAGAGCAAATTCTGTTTCACCCTCTGGCCAAATCTATTGATCAGTCAGGTAAAGTTTAATGACATAAACGAACAACAGTCTCCATATATCTGCTAGTCTGCTAAACTGGCATGTTTTGACACATACTCGATTTCAGAATGATTAATGTTTAAAGGTGACACTGCACTGAAAAGGCCCAGTGATAACATGACATACCCAAGTATAATCGGAGCACTTCAAGAATGGCCATAATGAAAAGCAAGGCGAGATCAGGACCCAAAAAATCATCTGGATAACTGAAAACTTGACCTGTAGAATAACACAGCGTAAATAGGCCAGGAAAATACAGCAGGCATACCGACAAACCACAACCATGTCATAAGCACACAGCCTGCTTCTGTGTTAGAATACGTGCAACTTACTTTTATAAACAATCATTGCAAGAGTTGCCAAGAAGTAAAAGACGTAATAAATCCCATTTACGTAAAAGAGCATCTGTAAAGGAACAGATGACAGCTGACAGCTCTTGTTAAGGATTTCTCATAACAATGAGGTGGGATCCCGTTCATAAAATCGCCATTTCCCAGTAACCTCAAAACATACTGGTGTGCCTTTTTATACTAAATGGTTCAAATATGGCTGGCCTACTGGGTAGGGTTCAGAAAGTAACTTGAGATTGCAAATACCAAGCGTTAGGATAAAAGCTTGCTGTTTCAGGTTTGGCTTTAGTTCCTTTTTTTTTAAATTTTATTTTACAGTAGTGGGGTATTCGTTAGCCTAGGAAATGGGGGGGTGGGCATGGGTACATTTCCCCAGACAACTTCTATACCCGTTAGTCGGCCTTAAGCAGGTTGACAGAGGGTTGGCAGACCCCAATACATCAAATTCCTCTAAGTTTTTGAAAATAGGCGGCTCTGTGAAGCAGACGGGCGCTGTTACTGCCCGTGCGATGGCAAGTCTGAAAGCTGTGCTCTGTCTTCGTTACGTGCCTGAGAAAGGCCACGAGCTCAACTTTGAGATGTAAGTTCCTAAGAAACAGACTTCCTTAATTCCCTGCTCACAAAACCAGTTGTTGTGTACTACGAGATAATATTTAGCTGTAGTTATTTGTCTACGTGGATCCACTGCCAAGGTATTTGAGAGCTCCACAATCCTTAATACATCCTCAAAATGCCCGTGAAGGACAGGGAATGCGGCACACGCCGTCGTACAAACAGGGAGAAATGACTTTTAGGCTCAGGACCTGCATCTCCCCTGTAGCCATCCCAAGGTGACAGCCGTCCTAAAGTCCGGTGTTAAACCGTGCCAGCTCCCTCCCTGACTGCGACAGGAGCTGAAACGCCTGGTTTACAGGAGGTGCCCAACAGTCAGATGTCTTCAAGAGCCCCCACGGATAGGTACGATTCCTACGTAGCAGGTACATACGTACCGACGGAATCATTTTGAGGCACGGCAGCACGTTACTAATGCAATATAGGAGACAGGCGTAGGACGTCCTGGGGCTCACCACCACGTGAAGAAGTTGGAACGTGGCCCCCAGGAATGCAGAAAGTTTGGCCATTCATATGTATTTTTGATAACCAAATAATACCAAATGCCTTTCTTAGCCTTAAATAATACAATGTAATTTATATAAGGAAGGTATCAGTGCAGATTTCATTATTTCCATCTCTCTCAAAATATTCTTGATCCTCCCCTCTCTCCCCCAGCCCTTCTCAAATCCTCTGAATATCTCCAAGCGGGGACTTCATCCCAGGCCTCTTTACAGGAACCACTCATCCAGTTTCCGAACGGAGCACCCACCCACACAGGTGGATGTATCCCAGTTCCCAGAGCCGCTCATTTTATTAAAACAGAACCAGGTTTTTGTGTTTTTCCAGTTGAAGGAAGGCGGAGCAAAAAATTACCGGATAGGTTCTAAGCATGGAAATCTCTGAAGCCGAGGGTGTCTCCTCTTAGGAGGTTCCTTAGATCTTGGCAGGAGTAAAGGGAGGGTGAATTAAGATGAGAGAAGAGGAAGCACCGCTGAAAGCTGCTTTTACTACCTCTTGTCGGCTGTGTCAGCTGTCTGGGAGGTGTGCTGCACGGGGTTTGTGCCCATCAGTCCGCAAGTCCAATTTTTAGCCTTGCTTCCTAAGGAAACAAGAGCTCCGTCATCATAAAACGTGGCCGCCAGCCCTCGGTCAAGACTGCAGGGTGGGTTAAAGGGGTTTCTGCATGAGGGGGAGCCAGTCGGGGCAAAATCTCAGGACAACCCCAGCTAATGCTGCAAAAACATCTTCCCTTGGAAGAAATGTTGTACCCGTTTTGCTTCCTGTGGATGGTGCTGAGGATGGAAAACGCAAAGAATAACACAAAAATAGCACTGTGGAGATTTATTAGGCAGGAAGATGTGAATGCGTTTCAGCCAGTCTTCCTGAAGATTCCCGCATGCGAGGGATGAAAGGTACAAAAAGGATACAACTGATGAAGTTCTTCCTTTCCGTTGAGAAGGAAAAAAGAAAGAGAAGAAAATAAGTCTAAATATTTACCAAAAGTGCTGCAGAAACATTCAAACAACTGATGTTACTAGAGAGGTCAAGCATGCTTGTCGGAATTTATTTTTTTCAGTTCACTGGAAAACGTACTATTTTCTCTGATCGTGCAGTTCAGGTTCCAAAAGTAACTTTCCAAATACTTGAATTCTAAAATAATTTGGGGGAAATCCCTATTGTGAAAAGTCATTTTCATGGAGGAGCCCGTCTCTTTCAAAACATAAAGCAGTACACAGGCATTACCTAGAACTTGTTTATCCTGTCCTTTCGCAGCAGACGACACTTCATCCCCTCTAACTATGCAGGAACAAGGGAACCAGAAGGTACCATTTGTTTTTAAATTGTGAGAAAGCGTTCACGTAGAACACAGGGCTCCCCGGTTCCTCTAAATAACATCCTTCCAAACCGGTTCCCTTCAAAAGCAAAGCCATTCTATGTAAAACCTCAGCAGGTTCTGATCACCCACAGAAATCACACCAAATATTTTCTATGAGCTAACCAATACATTTTACTTCTGTCTTTTCCTGCAAAAACACAGCTAAAATTCCCTTGCAACATGATGGCACTGACCTCCTAAAGTACCTCTTAAGTAACTCATTAATATTCTTCGCCTCTTTCAGGCACATGAGGAACTGAAAAGTTAGGATCTCTGCTTCACAGAGAGCAAAACCGTCCGTGAAAGGCCATTTCATCCATCTTCTCAGAGACACCTCATTACCATCAAATCAGCGGGACGTACTCACCTCACCATCTTCATCCCTGGGCTTCTTGAGGTTAATGTCCTCATCGCCTAATAGCTTCATGCAGTTGGGCCCAAATTAATCCCCACTAACTTTAGGCACCTAATTAAGGTATCCAATTTGGGAACGCAGTGGAAATAGGCAAGCCATTTTAGGTGATTCATATGTCTATGATCTGAAATGCCTCCTGGACGTGCTTCATCTCCTCTCCGCTTTCTGTAATGGGACTTCAGGCTCCCAACAGGCTTGTCCCTTCACTTAGCCAAAACGCGTTTTGATGAATGCTTTATTTCTTTTTGCAGAATGGGCGTTAAAGGTTTCATTACACATCTTGTTCTGCAGCTACTAATGGTTAAAGATGTGTTTGTATTTACACGCCGGTATAAACCCTCATGGGAAAGTAACGCCTTGTGTCAAGATGCTGCGCTTCCGTTCTTGCACAGCGATAAGCAGATGTCTCCATTTTAAAGTTATTTTAGACTGTGAAGTAGCATGTTAATTTGAAATACCACAACTGCACCTGCAGACGTGTTATTATTCCGCAAGAAGTGTCCGGATGCGACACATTTTCTGTAAAATCAAACACTAAGCTGTACCGGTGCAGCCTCATCCATGCTGGGCAGCTACGTTGCCGTGATGCCAGTGGTGTAATTAGAGTAGTACCATTTTACCGTACAGGCAACCCCTAGTGAATTCCCTAATGGCAGCTCCCCAACTTTATTTTTAAACTTTTTTTTCTTTTAAATCGTTTCCACAAGAGGGCACTGACCACATTCCTGCCTCTGTTCCAAGGAGGGGTTTGAGAGCACGCTGCCTCCCCCCGAGCGATGGGGGACATTTCACAGGGGTGAAACCCTTGAACCCCACGACGCGCTTGCGAGAGGGACACCGCGGGTAACGCCTAATTGCGATGCCAGGTGCACGTATCATTTCAGGTATAACAGCAGGCTGCTAATCCCAACACCCCGAGATCACCTCCCTGCGAGGAGTAATGAAGCCTGCATCGCTGCTGGGGGATTTTTAAACTGGAAGCGAGCATTCTGGCCCAGGAAAAAACCAAAAATAACCCCCGGTAACAATTTTAAAGCCTTTCTAGGAAGCCGCCAGGCCCGCAGCAGCCAGACCCCTCTGCTGGGGCTCGGCCACACGCCAGTCGTTCAAGCCAAGGTTGTCAACACCAGCTTTGCCCACCGAGGGCTAAAATCTGCATTTTGGGGGGAAACCTTTGACCTCTGTGAAAGTGGCAATTGAGCACTTTGGCCCCACTAATGAAGGCTTTTTTTTTTTTTTTTTTCCTCTGAATCCCCGGGGTTCATAGTTGGAAGCAAAGAGCTGAATTTTCAAGGGGCGTCACTCGGCCTCAAGGAAGGGATTTGCCTGTGGGTTAAGGTGCTCCTCAGCCCGCACAGGGCCCGCAGCTGCCGGGATTTACCTCAGCGTATCGGGGCTGTCGCGATAGGGCTATCGGGCTGGGCGCCGAGGCCTAGCCCGACCTCGGGCCCCCGCCTCGCTCTCATCGTGTTCCCCGGCCTGGGGCGGCGAGAGGTAACCGCTACCACGGTGGGAAGCAGCCCCCCTCCCCGGGACACGGCGGGAAAGGGCTGTCGGTATGGAGGGCACCGCGCCGCTCACCTCGCCTGGCGACCGCCATTCCCCTCCGCCCCCCCGCTCCCCTCCCCTCCCGCCTTCGGGTGCGATCGGAGCGCTCGGCCCGGTTCGGCCGCTTTCGGGCGGATTCGGGCACTGCCCGTTCGGGCGTCTCCGTTCGGGCCGGCGAAGGGGAATTCGGGCGCGATCGGAGAGGACTCGGCACAGCTCGGCTTTCCTCGCGCCCGCCTCAGCCGCCTTCGGGCGGGATCGGAAAAGACTCGAGCGAGCTCGGGATTCTTCGACCCTCTGGGCCGGACCGCTCGGGGACTCGGCCCTGTTCGGGCGGGCTCGGCTTCCCCCACCCGATCTGTCAGGTATCGCTTCGGGCCGTGCTTCTACGGACTCGGCCGGGCTCGGCTGCGTCCTGCCTTGGGATTGGCCAGCCGGCAGGAAACGCGGGCCCCGCTCCTCGGGAACCATCGCTCGCCTTCGGACGAGGCCTGGAAAGACTCGGGACACTTCGGGCACCATCGGAAGCGGTTCGGAAACGCTCGGTTCCGCCCCGGGGAACACGTTCGGAAACGCTCGGGCGAGCTCGGCACCGCTCGGCGCCCCGCCGAAGAGAGCCCGAGTGACCTCGGAGGACCGGGCCCCCCCGCCCCGGCGGCCCC